CTGAAAACCGGAGGAAGCCGCGTGCTGATGGAGTGAGACCCCCTACCCCAGAAACAACTGCGGGCATTGCTGAATCAGTGGAGAGCGTGGTGGCTACACCAGCCAGCCCACCTTGAAGGGCCCTGGGTGGCACAAATGTTCAAAGAGCAGGTGGTGGACCCCAGTGGATGGGAATGGAAGGCATCCCCCCGGGCATCAAGTTCAATGGGGACCCCCAGCAGCTGGAACTTTTCCTCGCCCACATCCTCACCTACATACAGGAATACAGGCGGGACATCCCTAGTTAGGGGGCTAGAGTCAGGGTGGTTACCCTGGCCCTGGAAGGGGCAGCCACCTGATGGATGGTGACCTTGCACAACGCCAATGCTTCAGAGCTCTGAAAGTTCAACCACTTTATGACTGCACTGAGGCATCAGTTCAAGGACCCCCTCGCTGATCAGAAGGCCGAGACCACATCAAGACTGTCAGGCAAGGTTGCCGCCTGGTAATTGAGTGCACCAAGGAGCTCCGGGACCTGGTGTGCCACCTTAACAGGCCAGAAGACAGCCTGATGAGCTGATTTAAAGATGGGCTGAGTGACGACCTGTACCATGTCTGCATCACCCGAGGGGCTCCAGCTTGCCTACATGACTGGTGCATCCTGGCCAAAGAAGCTGAAATTGGCCAAGCACGAAACCAGTACCAATCCAGCAGAGTTTGAAACGATCACCGCCCGGGTGGAAGAGGGAGGCTACCAAGCCCCAGGCAGTTCCACCATCTGCTTCAAATGTGGCAAGGAGGGACACCGGGCGGCCGATTGCAGAGCCAAGACTCCAGCGAAGAAGGAAGACTGGATGCCAGGGGGAAACCAGTTAAGCCCTCGCAATGCCCAAAAGACACGGTCCTGAAAAGCACAAAGATCATTGAGTTCCGTCCCAGCCCAAAACAGGGGAGTAGAACTCCGACCTCATCAGAAGACAACCTGGGATCCTCCCTGGTAAGTGGGTCAATCGCACCAGTGACCATGCCCATAGAACTGTTAATCCCACGTTTGGGGAAAAAAGTGGTCCTAAAGGCTCTACTAGACTTGGGGTGCACCAGGTGCTTAATAAGCCCAACCTTACTAGGAAGACTGGAAGACTCCTCTGCCTGAGGAAGTTAAAGAATCCAATCACTTTTTGCCAACTAGACAGGTCAGTCTCAGGGGATGTCCCAGCCGCTTTTGCTACTGATCCCATAAACCTAGCATGGGAAGCCACTCTTACTTTTATCGTGGCACCTAGCATGGAATGGCATCCTGTATTAGGACTCGCCTAGCTCAAAAAATGGAACCCGCAGGTGGATTGGAGAAAGGGACTGCTGAAATTCCCAAAGAGAGAGCAAGTCCTAGGCAACAACAGCCATGGAGTGAGGAAGGAATCCCACAGAGAAGTAGCGGCTTTGAGGTGCGAGTTGCTGCAAGGCATACCCCAAGAATACCATGAACTGGTTGAGGTGTTTAGTGAGGGGGGCTTGGATAAACTCCCCCCTCACTGACCCACGGACTGTGCATCGAGAATGTCCCCGGGGCCAAGTTGCCAAAGCGAAAGCTGTATTCCATGACTTCAAGGGAGTTAGACAAACTACACAAATTCATAGAAAAAATTTGGCCCGCGGTTTCATTCAGCTGGCCAGACCCTGGGTGGCAACCCCAGTTCTATTCCAGGAGAAGAAAAATGCGTCTCTTCATCTTTGCGTTGATTATACGGTTCTGAATGCGGTGTGTGTGGAAAATGTGTACCCGCTCCCATTCATGAAAAATATGCTGGCCCACCTTTTAAAGGGCAAAATATTCTCTAAACTGTAATTATGGGAAGCCTATTACTGAGCCAGGATTAAGGAGGGAGATGAATGGAAAACTGCTTTTAACTACCCCCTGGGGTGCTTCCAATTCAAAGTGCTCCCTTTTGGGCTGCATGGGACCCCCACAATGTTCATGCAGCTGATAAATGAAGTGCTCCATGAGGACCTATACATGGGGTTTTTTGGTGTACCTTGACGATATATTCACACTGATATGAAAGCTGAGCACATAAAATTGGTCAGAACAGTCCTAAAAAGCTCTGTGCTGCCAAACTATATGTTAAGCTTTCTAAGTGTGAATTTCACAAAGAGAAAATTGACTACTTAGGTTATTGGATTTCCCACGAAGGGGTGGAAATGGATCCAGAAAAAGTGTGAGCTATGATAGAATGGGCACCCCCGCAAACCAGGAAGCAACAGCAAATTTTCCTCGGCTTCGCAAATGTTTACAGGCAATTTATCCCATCCTTTGTGCAAATTGCCCTCCCCATCACCAACTTGCTGAAAACAAAGGGGGTTTCAGCCACTAAAATAAACTATGGAATACCAAGCCTCATTCAAAAAGCTAAAAAGACTTTTGTCCACTGAACCAGTGCTAAGGCATCCAGAACCTGAAAAGATTTGTTATTCAAGCTGATGCCAGCAATCTAGCCATGGGGGCCATACTGCTCCAAGAGAATGAGAAGGGCCAACTGTAACTTTGTGCCTACACAACAAAAAAAATGACAGAAACTGAGCAACATTGGGCAGTGTGGAAAAAAGAGACCTATGCAGTTATGTGGGCCCTCTTCGCCTGGCGACACTTTCTGAAAGGGAGTAAAACCTCTTTCCAAGTTTGGAATGACCACAAAAATCTAGAGACGCTGAACCCCCATCCAAAAAAATTGTCCCCTAAGCAAGCACAGTTGGCCCAACACTTTCAACATTTTAATTTCACCCTCCACTACATACCGGGGGGGGGGAGGGAACCTTCCTAGCTGATGCCCTGTCAAAGATGCCACAATATAACAGTGCCAAATCATAAGTGGTAAAGCCTTTGCTCCCGGCACGGCAATTAGAGCCTCGAGTAACCACGAGGGCACAAACAACAGGTGGATCGCCGCTAGATAATGCTGCTACTCTGGCTTTCAAACAAGCCCTAGAGAAAGATTAGTGGTTCCTCAACCACAAGAACCTCTGCTCCATTCAGGGAGGGTTAGCCTGGGTAGGGAAAAAACTATACGTCCCAGCCAAACTGAAAACAGTACAAACATGCCATGATTCGAAACTGGCAGGGCGCTTTGGGTTCGTAAAGACTCGGCACCTCTTAAAAAGACAATTTTGGCGGTCGTCCCTAAAAAAGGACACCGAGAGCTATGTAGCTAGCTGCCCTACCTGCACAGCAGCCAAACAGAGGCAAGGGAAAACGCCCAGCCTCCTGCAGCCGTTGACAGAGACCTCAGCACCCTGGAGAGAGATTTCCATGGATTTTATCATAGAACTGCCAGAAAGCGTGTGAAACACAGTAATTTGGGTGGTCACTGACCTATTTTCAAAACAGGTCCACTTTATCCCATGCCAGAAGATCTACTGCCAAAGCTTTGGCAAAACTGTTCATTCATCATGTATACCGCTTACATGAGGCCCCAGTTGCATAATCTCTGATAGAAGGGTCCAATTAACTTCAAAGTTCTGGAGGGCATTTTTGGACCTCTTGGGGACAGACCAGAGCCTGAGTTCTAGTCACCATCCTCAAACGAATGGGGGGATAGAACGAACGAACTTAGTACTAGAACAATACTTAAGATGCCTTATTAACTACCAACAAGACAACTGGACTGACCTCTTACCATTTGCTGAAGTCACTTCTAATAACACTATACACACCAGCACAGCCTACACAATAGTCTGACAAAAGAAACTTGAACCTGAGAGTCGGAATGGTGGTGAAGAAAACATTTCAGAAGGCCTTAATAGGATGAATGCAGGAATTAGAATGAGGGATATATAACAAGAGGTATGAAACAGAATAGCCAAAACTTGTAAGACCACCAGCCTGAGATCAAAGCTGGACAAATTTACAGAAAAGATTATTAAATGCTAAGAACCAACATATATCAGATATATTATGTCTGATAATGAAAGCATGCCTTTTTTTATCAAATTCTTTTCTGTTCTGCTATATTAAAAAAGCTAAGGAACACTGCATTATTAGTTTTTTCCATATAAGATAAAAAAACCTGTTCCCACAAACAATGTCACTAATTTTTTTTCTTGTTTATTTTCTTTAATAAACAATATTGTCATGTTCGAGGGAAATATTTGCCTTTTTCAAAGATTGTGCTGTAACAATGGAGAGCAACTGCATGATCCTGAGAAAAAAATGAATCTGCTTCAATGAGTTTTATATAGGTAAAAGCCAGTTTGATGTAGTGGTTAAGGAATCAGGCTAGTAACCAAATGACATTGAGTTCTAGTCCTGCCTTAGGCATGAAACCAGCTGAGTCATTTTGGGCCAGTCATTCTCAGTTCTAAGAAGACAATGGCAAACTACCAAATACCTTGCCAAAAATAGGGGCTTTGCAATGCATGAGAGTACAAATGAAGCACCACCCTCTGAATAATTAAAACCACTGCATCTTTGCCATATTTCACATGGCTGTTTTCAAAACTGCTTCCAGCAGTTTCCAAATATGTGTGAATGCACAACTACTTTATAAGTAGCTTTTAAGTTCCCAAGTAAATGTCATACACATCCTTGCAGAGAGTGCCAGGGGCAGCTTTCAAAACAATTTGTTGAACTATGGCAAAAACATGGCTGCTTTACCAATCTGAAAATAGTCCCTCTTAATAGTCCAGCATACTGCATTTTTAAAAAATAGTTTAGCCTTACTACAGATTACTAAAGTTGTCCTTGAAAATGACAGCATAAATAAGCTTTAAACATGTATAAATGAAAGAAACACAATATTTCCGAAGAATATTAAGGCCTGGCTCTGTCAACTGGCACGGGGATCCAAGAGTGGCACACAACCCCAGGGGTGGTTGGTGGCTTGAGTGCACTCTCTCCAACTTTTTAACTTCATCTATTTTTGTTGAGATTTTAGGGGTTTTATAGATTTTTTTACTTGTAAACGGCTGAGAGTCACTTAAACAGTGAGATGGGCAACATATAAATTTGATAAATATTCAATACTTACCTGCTAGTGCCCATTCCCCAGAGCTGTGAGAATGTCCACTATAGTATAATATATAAGTATCATGCCTAGGTCCATCTGATGTCCGAAGTTCAAGAAATGACTTTAGTTTAGAATGTAATGTGTCAAATGAAAGTCCGCTTGTGGAATAATCACAGCCATAGGTCTCAATCATATGATATACAAAAAACCTTTGGATAGCATTAAGCATGCCTGTTGACCTCAAATTTAGCTCTTGCACATGCTCAGGTGGAAGCAATGTTGGTTGGCCATCAGGACTGAAGGAAATAGAAGAAAAATTGAAAATTGTAATGAATATAACTTATTATAAATTGCTTTACTGTCTAATGTTGTATTATGAAATAATTTACCACTGTAACTGCATGCACTTTAAAACAAGAATGTTCAGTTACAAATGGCTTAAATTAGCAGCCTAAACCATTGAAGAGTTCTGTCTCATTGATAGCATATGCAACGGACATAGTTTTTAAACATAGTCCTACTTCTCAATGATATGCTAACTATGAATATCAATCTGCTTTCTGATACATCGGCACCAATTATTCTATGACCTAGATTCTAGAAGAAGCTCCCCCTCATTTTTCTATCAGTTTTAGTTGGCAGAAAATTCAAGGGGTTATTAGAATCTTTTCCGTATATCTAGGCTCATTCATCACTTCTCTCCAACCCATTCACCTCCCAAACAGATAAGGTCTCACATGAAGCACTGACTGACAGTTACAAACTTTCCAGATCCAAAACTATTGTAGAAAGCAAGTAAACACCAAATTGGTGTGAACAGATGTTTTCAAAAAAAAGAAAGAAAGAAAGAAAAGAAATAGTGATAGAACTTCATTTAGAATGATGTTTCTTTTATAAAAAATATGAATTGAACTTGCTGTTAGGAAGGATTTCATTCAGAACAAAAAGCAATTAACATTACCACTGTTTTCTTTCTTAAAGTTTAAAGTGCTCACTATGTCAGTTTTAATGATAAATCCACACATTACCACGGATTCCTTAAATATGACATATGCAACTTCTCAGATTAGGATAAATAAAGGGCAAAAATGCAAATCTAGTAGATAAATTAGCATAATAGATGACTGCAATACTATGTATTAAATAACATGTATTTGCATTAACACTTACCTGCAAAAATTGGTAGGGATCACAACTGCATAGCCAACACATGTGCCTCCCAAACAACTTCCTAGTTCATGAAACAATCCATGAGCCATAGATTCAAGGGATAAGACAATTAAAAAAACACTCATGAAGATTCCATTGGATTTCTATAATAAATGAATTTGTTGTAAGAATTGAATGCATATAATTACAGTTTATCAGTTTGCAAATGTGAATGAAAATACAGAACATTTAAAATCACAATATTTTAAACATGATTCAAATGCAATACTGTAATCTTAACAATGCTAATTCTGAATTTGGTCCTAACCTCCTTACCTCCTAAAGTGTTCAATTGTATGCACTACAACATTAACAAAAATATAGCTGTACATGCTTATTAAATATATGCACAGACTCAGCCAAATATTTACATTATAAGCCCTATATTTTATATTTCTGATTTTTAAAAGTAATAATATTTCTTACATAAATATGCATTTTCATGAAATAGTAATTTAAGTTAATAAATGAACAATTCCATTGGAAAGAAGTACTCTTTTTTTTCTTGTCACCCAGCTGAGTTAACTGACGCTTGTCCTGTTTCTTAATGGAACTGCAATACATTTATATAACATTTCTCCCTAGCTAAAAACTATTAGTGCCAGCCTCACCTGTCTTAGCCCTTATAAATATAATGAAGTAATGCTAAAAATAAGGAAATTAATAAATTAATTAAATGGTTTTAATTATGATGATTTAATGGCTAAAAGCAAATTGAGGGGGGCCAGGGTATGATGAAAAGAACAGAGAAACCTAAATTAGAGAAAGAATTAACTATCAAGTTTGCTCTGAAGGCAACTTGGTTTACAGATCTTCTATCTTTCAAGGAGAAACTAAAATTAGTGTAACTTCAACCATCCCAGTTAGACAAACAGCTGATAGAACTAAAAGGTATTTCCTGTCTTGTTAGAGCAGACATGTCAAACTCGCGACGACGTCACACGTTTTGGGACTGTTTTGCCATTGCCAGCAATGGGGTGGGCGCGGCTTCCATGTGACGTGACCGGCCCATTGGCCGGCAGTTTGACACCCCTGTGTTAGAGGGAAATAAAGGAGGTAAGAGAAGAGTGGTGACATTCACAGGTGGTGTGTAAAAACAAACAGAAAAGAAATGAAAATAACTAGCTTACTTTAAAAAAAGAAGACAGACTTTGGTCATATCTTGTGACAAGCTAAAGGATCATTCTGTAATTAAGCATGGAGATTTTGTAGCAATAGCTCTTCAGAGAGAATAACGTACCCTCTATCACCACTTCCAACAATGCTATTGTTAAATGAAATGTTTATTTCTCTCTCTCTCAATACTGATTAGGAAAATCCAATATTTGAGGGTCTGCCACAAAGAAGAGGAGGTCAACCTATTTTCCAAAGCACCAGAAGACAAGACAAGAAGCAATGGATGGAAACTGAACAAAGACAGAAGCACCTAGAACTAAGGAGAAATTTTCTGATAGTAAGAACAATCAACCAGTGGAAAGCTGGCCTTCAGAAATTGTGGGTGCTCCAACACTGGAGGCTTTTAAGAATGGATTGGACAACCATTTGTCTAAAATGTTACAGGGTCTCCTGCTTAAATAGGGGGTTGGCCCAGAAGACCTCCAAGGTCCCTTCCAACTCTGTTATTCGGTATTCTGTAAAAGAACTTGTAAGGTAAGTCATAATGTGAATATACCATGAAAGCTCAATATATGAACTCTATGTTCTTTACTTTTAGGATGGCAGCAACTAATGATGCCACTGAATAAAGGGCACTTGGAAAATGAAACAGATTTATTTACACCTTAAATAACTCATCTCAATCTTTATTGCAAGCATTAATTAGCACCAAATATAATAGTTAATGTACAACTACAAATGTAGCTGAACAAATTAAAATAAATGGCAGGGGGTAAATATAAGAATTTTAAATCTATCCCTCAAACATCCCTTCCCATCAGCTGAAAAGTTTCAGCACTGACTTTTATGTCACCAAATCTCTTGCTTGCCCATCAGTCAAATGATGAGATGCAGCCCACACAATAAAAAGGGTTGTCCTTTTTTTTAGCCCAATGAAAATTTTAGATCTTGTGGAGAAAAACAGGAGAAAGGAGTATTTAGTATGTCTACCAACTTGAGTTACCTATAAAGTAATAAAGGTGAGATAAAAATCAAATAAAAATCAAATAAACAGGGTATGGTGGATCCATTTCAAGGCATAATACTGTATCATGCTTTTATTTTTTGTCAAAAGCCTTAATCATAATTATTTTATATTGTTTTATCTCTCTCTTTTGCTACACATACTTTAAAGAAAGTTTGACAGAGGATTGTAAAAACATTAAAACCTACCTGCCAACATACTGTACCCAAAACTGCTGTTGCAAGAAGGCTGAAAAAGACAAGTTGCTCTGAAATTAAACAAAAATGGCGCATTCCTTTAGATGCCATTACTCTGTCAAGGCTATTGTTCTCTGCTCTGTGTGTATAATATATTTTGTGACAGTCATTAAGTTTTGTATGAAATCCCCAGAGAGTTATAAGAAAAATGATGTGACAGATGATCCAGAAAATGCCAAAAATGGAAAAGCCTGGTATTACAAAGTACCAGAGATCCAAATCACCTAGTTTAAGTGCTGAGAGGATGAAAAAAATCAGTTCAATAAGTCCAACAAAAATGACTGAGAATCTTCGGCAAATTCGACCACGATATAAATAAGGTTTCCAACGTTCTGTAACTGAAAGTCCACTGAAGTAAACATCAAGCAGGGGATCAGCTATTAGGCAACTAAAAAAATATCCCAAGGGAAATGGATTTGTTGGTATATGCAAGGATGGAAAAAATAACAAAGAGGCAAGGACTCCAAAAATTACTAAATTTGGAATTGCCAAAAATGATTTCATCCTCAAATCAATAATCAGCATTGCTAAAGCTACAATCAATAGAATAATACTCATGGATTTCTCCACCAGCATAGTTGTACTGGCAATTGCAAATCCAACCAGCTCAAGTACTTCAACTGTTGTTAGTAAAATGGGCCGTTGATGAACACAGCCACATATTCTCTGCACCAAAGCATATAATATTCTTATAATTATGGAAGAAAGAAGTAAATATTTTGTTGCTTCTTCCTTTACATCATTTTTAAAAGAATTATTATCCAGGAAACAAAGAAGGCCAAGTAAAAATCCAAACCAAAGATTAGAGAGACTTAAACTTGCTGCTTCCATTGAAAAATAGTAATAAAGTATACTTGCAATTCCAAGAACAAATAATCCAAGGATAAAAATTATGAGTATTAGTGCATCTGCAGTTTTTTCCCACCTGACATAAAGACCCATACATATTGCTGCCAATAAATTCATTCTGGCCAAATAGCCAAGGTAGCGGACAGAGGAATGCATGTTCACTTCGCGATTTGCTTCTTCCAGACTTGTCATTGCTGCATACAGACAATGGCTTACACAGTAACGCAATGATCTACACATGTAAGCAGATTGGAAGGGATTATACCCACTTTACAGAACATAAATGTTTGAATTTCATCCAAGAAATATGATGCAAAACAGCCTTGTTTCATTTATAATTATCAGTCACTACTGAAGGTCTGAAAAACAAACATAACTTCACATTAATATATTGTATCAAATAAACAGATCCAATACGTCTGCATCCTTACATACTGTTTTTCAGTAAGACATAATTGTAGGCAACACAGTATTAAAATCTTAATATAGTAATATATGAATCCAAAAGGGGAATTTATTTTACATGTTGACTGCAAAGTAAATATGATACATTAGTCAACTTTTATTTCCTGGACATTTGGAGATTCCATTCATTTCTATTATTTCCCCCCCTCATATTTTGATTTTGCCATTTCTCTCATTATTTTGATTTTGCTATTTTTTAAAAAACTTTTCCATATATGAAATGGGAAAGTTGTCATACATTTCCCAAACCTAGTCTTATTTCCATTCAAGAAAATGTGTGGGATATTTATTTATATATTTAAAGTATTTATATGACCACCCAACTTGCAAAAGTGTAAAGTCAAGCAGCACAGAAAAATAAAAATCTCTGTAACTTGTAACTCCATATGTATGAGAAAAGATTAGTAGGTATACTGATGGCAAATTAATTCATTTTACAAAATACAAGATGTAAATATGCATCATATAGTAGCTCATCAGCATAATTTTATACCACCCAGGCCTCTTGATTACAAGCCAAAAATGTAAGGTAATTTTTAAAATTGTTTTTGCAATATTTGGAAAGAATTTGTGGGGCAATGTTGGGTGCCTTACACCTTGTAGTAATATTGTGTGAAGGTTTTCAAAGGTAAACTGGCGTTTAAGCCCTGTACTGTACATCCATCTCATACCTTTAAACCCTTAAAAATCAACTCTGGAAACTACCTGTTATGACTTCTGTAAATTGCACATGCCTGTTATGCCAAATTAATTTTAATATATAGTAATTTAATTTTCTGCCCTGGGCTTGTGCTTTTTAGAACATGGCTATATACAGTATGAGCATGGCAGATGCACATGTTTATTTATTGGGGAGGTGGGGGTGTCACCAGATTTCATTTTAGTTGGGATTGGCATCTACAGATTGGCAGGATAAGAAATCTGAAGCACAGGACTTTTTTTTTTTCCTAAGAGGAACTTTTGAGTAAATGCAATTTTATAATTGTCAATCAAATTTTCTATTATTTTTCAGTTTTGTTTTAATTTTGTATAGTCTAGGAAAAAGGGAATTTATAGATTTATTGGAGAACATCTAAATCCATTGTAAGATCATTACCTATAGTTTCAAATGAAGATGTTATTATTTTCTTAATCTTTCTAGTATATAGAAACAGGTAGCTCCTTATGCAAACCATAAAAGAATAAAGCATAGTTTAACTTTGTCAACTGCCCAAAACATATGCGCAAAATTACAGAAAATCGTCATCCTCAAAATATTAGAAATATACTAATCTTACATTTATGTTGAATTTATTTTAAGTTTAAATTAATCTGGAAAAAACTATGTCGATTTGGCTAGTTTGAAATTTCTTAAAGAATCTACCAGTACTGATCAAGCTACTAAACTGGAATATGCAAAATGCTCATTCCTACGCAAAAATATAGCCATACACTTTGGTTTATTAGGAAAAGAGAAGCGAACTCAATAATATTTTACTTTCAAAACTCGACAGACTGCTATTGCTGTTTCTTTGTCCCAGCAGCCCTAAATGATAGTAAAAATTCTTTTCTTAAGAACCTAATCTAATTATTTCTACACACAAATGATCCAGCCCTGGGCGTTTTAAACATATCAGTTTCATCCCACTTTGAACATGCAGCGCGAGGAAACAAACGTGTTTCCTATTTAATGCTATTGGAGGAAAACTTCGATTTCCTAACGAAGTAAGAGAGCTTGTGAAACGGGGTTAAGGCAGGATGGGGTCTATAGGGTGGCGGGTGGGCACGACACCTATCTTAGCGGCTCATAGGCAACCCGGGTTCATCGCTTGACAGTAGCAGAGCGACTATTTGCTACTGGCAAACTAACAGCCTGGCAACGCAGCGGGTACGCAACCGCTAGATGAGGCAGGAGGCTGAGAGGGCAGATCAACGTCCTTTTTTCCAACGTCAAGTTGGGGCAATCACTCCCCCCATCATATACAAGGCACATTCCAACTATGGTAGCCGGAAGAGGCAGTGGTCGAAGACCCTCAGCAGCCTCCGCGTCCACCTTACGCCTCTGTCCTAATCGAAGATTAAACTGTGGCGCCCGCGTGATTAATATCCCGGGTTCCCTCGAAACTCACCATCCGCCACTTCCACCCAAAACTTCCCCTCCCGCCGCCATTTTAGCGCTTCCTTCAGAGTGTTCTAGGTGGGTACGGGAAGAGCGAAGGTTCAAATCGCGCAACGCTCTGCCCCTGAGCGCGTGGTACCGCTCTTAACCCACAGCGGGAAGGCTGAGCGGGAAGGCGAAAACAGCAACAACGGCATGAAAGCGTAGTGCTTTAAGGGGAGGTTTTTTTCCTCCGAGACTTATGAGCCGATAGCAATGCAGAGACGTCACTCCTTATTCTTCCAAAGCGGGATATTTGAATCCCCTTTCAGTCATGATGCCTTTTGTTGCAAGTGGCATTGCATGGCATCTTGTTTGCGCTTAGCCTGTGTAATTTATCCAGGATGTATAGGATAAATCAGCGAGGAGGCGAAGCTAAAGCCTTCAAACGAAACCAAGCAAATTAGCGTAGTGTTTCTCAACTTTGACAACTTTAAGATGTGTGGACTTCAACTCCCAGAATTCCCAAATCTGGGAGTTGAAGTCCACATCTTAAAATTGCAAAGGTTCCGAAAAATCAGTTCATACTAGAATGGACTCAATAGCTATGGTATTGGGGTTTTTGGTTAAGGCTCTTTTTATTCCCCAACACAAGTAAAGAAGATGGATAAAATAAATTGCCTTGAATACCCAGCCATAGAGCTCTTGTGGTAGGAACAGAGATGCTTTACAAAGCTTTTAACTCTAGTAATCTGGAGTCTATGCATAGCAGAGCTGCCAACCATGATTGCCTACTTAATTCATGGACCCCTGGCTTGAAACTCAGATGGGATCACATTTATTTGATGCTTTAATGAGATGAGATTACTAGGTGTGTAGTTCAGGATACAACTCATATTTCAAAAGTAGGTGAAGGAAATACTTTTAAAAGGAAATAATTATTAAAATAATTATTTTAATAATTGTAGAAATGTAATGCCATTATATGAAACTCTTTAGTACAAATGTAACACTGTAACACAAATGTAGCAATGCAATGCCAATATATGACCAAATGTTTACTATTTCCTGCCTAAAAATCCTCTGGACACAGGAACTTACACTTTGAGTAGAAATCCTACTATCGAAGAGGGGGATTTTGACCCAAGGTGAGGATTACAAATAAACAAGATAACAGCAGATGGACGGAAGAGGTCAGGTTAACAAAGTACAACTTCAGAGTACATCTATAAAGATGAAAGAGCTGCTTAGATATGACATGCATTGTAGGGGTATAAAATGCAGATCTTGAAACCAGGCCAGTGTGCTCCTGGAATCCAATCCATAGGGAAGGATCCAGGGGGCCGCGTTTGCAAACGCTCCTCTCTTCTATTTTTTTTTCTTTTCTCTTTTATTCTGTTTATGTTATTCTCCAATAAACCTTTGTTTTGTTAACCAGACTTGTCTTCATATTGTGAGTATCAAAATTTGGGGTTTTTACATCTCACAATCTTGGTGGAGAATGCGGGCATTAAGAGCTTCTAGGGGACACTGTTCTCAGTAAAATCAGGAGCGCGCCTGTTGATTTCAACTGCATGGAGTTATCTGAGATCCAGTTTCCCCTTGCAGGCTCCGAGCCAAACTAAATTGACAACTCTGGTTTAAAAAAATCAAAGGACAGGAAATAGGAAGAAAGTCAACAACTGAAGCCCAGACCAGGTAACCCAGTGCACTGGCCCAGGTAAGGAACTTTTGCCCCGAAGGAGGGAAGCATGCAATTGTACCTGGGTGGTCAGGAGAGCGATTGTGGGAGGATTTCTGCGATAACGGCTGTGTGAGTGTGATGGGCTGTGTTCTGGGAACACTGGTAAGTCCAGAGGAGTGCGGACCTGAAAGGTTGAGGTCTCTTACTCCCGCAAGGGGGAAGGCCAGCCTGAAGGGAAGCAAACTGGTGTTAAGAGTTTTGAGTGGCCATCAAATCGAGAACCTCAGGGAACCATAATCAGGGAAACTCTCAAGAAGATGGGTTGTTGTTGTAAGTCGTTGTTGTAGACCTAAAGAAAAAAATAACTGTAAAATTGAGTAGCTTCAAACAGGAAAACCCATCTTGCTAGCAGCAGATGCCTTGTGTTTGTGAATGGGTTTCCCAGGCTTTGCCCATGTGGAGCTAGGGTAGAAAAGGAAGTTTTGGGAAATAAGGGGAATGAGAGAAATGTGTGTATGTCTCTGTGTGTGAGTGAGGAGACCTTTTTCCCAAGCAGTTTTCTGTTCTCTTTTCCTTGTCTTGGTGTGTATATGTGTGTAGAGTCTTTGTGTGTGAAGTAAATATGACTGTTACTAACTCAAGAGAAAGGAAGAAACATCCTCACTCTGTTTGTCTGACCAACAAACAAAGTGAAGAAAGATGTGTTTGTTTGTTTGTTTTTCTCCCTCTTAAGAACAGCCCAAAGTTACATGCTCAGGCAGGAAATCCTATATCATTTTCTTGCCTATTCTGCTCTCTCCCTTTTGCAAATTTTAAGTGTGTTAATGCCTTTTCAAACTCTATCTGTAGACACAATCCCCCTTCCCCCCTGCTTTTTTTTCTGGCTGTGTTGCTTTGAGAGGGAGAGAGAGAGAAAGGAGAAGGGGGGTTGATCTTTTAAACTTTTCTCTACTTAGAATTTTAGAATTCAAGTTTGAGAAAGGTGGGGTGGCTATGAAAATTTAATAGCCACTTTTGCAGTCTCAGCTTGCAATGTTTACTCAAAAGAGGGGTCAGTAATTGGTGGACAATTTTTTGGGGGGAAATTTTTGAATTTAAATTGTTTAGTTAGAGTTAGACCTATCAACCAAAAGAAATGACTCTAGATTGTTTTGCTTAGATTTATAAATGTTTTCCCTATTTAATGGAAATTTGTTTCCATCTGAATGGAATTTGATTAAATTAGAATTTGACTAACTTTATATTAAAAGCAATACTAGAGTTTGGAAAAAAAACTATTTCAGTAACTCAGAATATCTTATTAAACTTGTTTATTTTTTTGTGAAGTTAAAACAAAGAAGTTGAGAAAAATTTTGGGATTATAAATAGCTATGCTGTTTTGATTAAAGATTTGTATGCAAAACTGTTAGAAAAAGAGCTTGTGTTAACAAATGCAAACAGGGTTTGGTGAGCTCTCCTTTGTTGGCTCTTCACTTAGGTAATTTATTTATAAACAAGGACAAAGGTTGGAGGAGGTTTTAACCCAGAAGTGGTGGTGGGAGGGAAGGCAGCCAGTGGCATTTTTATCTAAAATTGACATTTGGGGACATCTTGGTGGTTAGCATTTCTTATCAAGTGTGGACAATTTTAATCAGGAACCCTAAAGGAGGTATACACTTGTTCATAGCAAAGTAGTTGGGAAAAGAAAAGAACAAGAAAAAGAGAGACATAATGAAGGTACAATAGTATATGGGGAAGGAGGGATTACCAAGAATTGAATTAAAAGATAAAATAATTAGAAAATATGTACTTGAACTGTCCAGATGTTTTTCTCTCCTGTGACAGAAAGGCATTCTTGCCCAAACTCCTTGGACTTTGTAGTACACCAATACAAAGCAGGACAGTGGGTGTTGATAAAAGCCTGGAGAAAGGAAAAACTAACTCCTACCTGGAAGGACTTTACATCGTCTTGTTAACCACTGAGACAGCTATCCGGACAGCTGAAGAAGGTTGGACCCATTACTCCCGAATAAAAGGGCCCATGCCAGCCCCATAGGAGTGGAAGGTGGAATCTCACCAAGGAGATCCACTGAAAGTAACGTTCCAAAGGACTTCATGGACTAATAGTCAATCTTCCTGTCAGGAAGTGGGGTAATAGAGGAAAAAGGACTAAACTTTATATTTCTTTTTCTATCTAGAACCAAAGGAAAACCAAGACCTCCCACATGTGCTGATTTTGTGGGTATCTTTGTAGGTATTGTTGCTCCTCTCACTGTATTAATTGTGTTCAGTGCACAGGGTGTGAGATAGAGTGTGATATTAAGTCTTCTGATATCTTCTGATGTATTGGAGCATTACAAGGTGGTATGTCTGGGGGGGGGTTCTTATTATACTCTTAAAACCTGTCCAACCATTAGAGTCATTTAAGCAATGTGTAAAAATGACAAAGGGAGAAGGAAAAAATATACACTGACTCCAAGTATGTTTATGGAGTCTTGAATACAGGTGGAAGAAGAAAAGAAAGAAGTTATGCTAGAGTGGCAGAAGGGAAGGAAGGAATGGATAATAGAAGAAAGAAACAGGAAAGTTGTTTTAAGTTGGTTTGCACAGACTTGTGAATTGCATGCATTAAGCAGGGAGACTGCAATTAACGTGGTCAGCCCAAACGTGTGAATTGTATGCCTTAACACAAGCCTTAGAATGTTGAAGGAACAAGAATGTACTAAAGATGGGAGGTGGATGTTGCAAGATGGGAGAGGGATGTTGAAAAGAAAAAACAACAACAAAACAATGGCTAGAACGCAGAAGCAGCCACTGAAGGGGGGGTCACAAGGGATGATTACTATTTTCTAAAACAGGATGGTTGTATTTATACCTTAGTTAAACAAATATGTGAAAAAAATTCAAGTTAAAAAAAAAAGCTTTACAACATTTAGTGGTGAGGCCATGTCAATATAGGCCTCAACTGGAAAGTTGTTTTTGTTTCTTTGAAATGGGAGGCTTTTGTTACATGAAGGTTCAAGAATGTCAATGAAGAAGAGAAGAAAGTTACTCAGCATTTGCATAATGTGGCGCAGGTTTTGTCTTCTATCTTAGTACAAGCCCAGGCTGCCTTACCACCTATCTCTGGCCGTTGTTCCTGGAGAGTGGATTCAGGTGAAAAGAACTGTCACCTAGAAATACTAGTCCTGAGTGGTCTCAACCATGCCAAGTCCTCCTGATTTAAGGAATCAAGGCATGAGTCCATGGAAAGTCCCATCATATCCTCTCCAGTGAAAAACTCCGCAGCTGGACAGCCTGAAAATGAAATTTCAATCTACCTCACCTGTTGAATTGTTTCCATCTAAGTGGGAGAAAAACTTCAATGGATTGGACGTGTTCCTAGAACCTGGACTATGTATTGAAAAGTTTTTCTTCTGCTACTGTTGTTTCCTTAGTACCTTCTTTGGTAGAAGGAAGGACCATGGGCCCAATACTTTAA